TATTCTTGATAATTAATTAATACTTTATGTTAGCTCTTTTTTTTCTAGTAACAACCTAGGTTTTAATAATTCGGGTTTATTATAGAATTTATTAGAATTTATTTCTAAAATATAACAAAATTCACGTGATAAACCCTAAAACCAGTTCCAACCTCTAACTGCCTGGAAGTGAAATTCAAGTTTTCACTATAGCGAACATAGCTCCGGAAAAATTATAATTTAATATTTTTAATATATACTATAGAATTAATTGTATTGGGACTAAGTTCGTTACAATAAAATTAAATTCAAATTTTAAATACACTTATTAAATCCCGATTGGCCGATTACAATCCATCAAAATTCGTAAGCGTGCTAATTTGTCGATTGAAATAAAACCGGTTGGTTCGCAAGAATTGGTTTTAATAAAACCGGTTGGTTCGCAAGAATTGGTTTTAATAAAACCGGTTTTTGCGAAACAACCGGATTTATTAAAACCAATTCTTGCGAAACAATCGAATTTATTAAAACCGATTCTTGCGAACCAACCGGATTTATTAAAACCGATTTTTGCGAATCAACCGGATTTATTAAAACCGATTTTTGCGAATCAACCGGATTTATTAAAATCGATTATCGAATTTGAAAAATCAAAATTCGGTTTTATAATCGAGCCGAGTTAAAACCGGATTTAAACCGAAATGCGCAAACCGGTTCCAATCTCTATGATTGTTTTTAATTTTGTTTATATTGTAAAAACCTATTTTAAGAAGTCTATGTTGATTTTATCAAGTGTTTCTTGTATTTGAAAAAGTAATGATTTCTCTCCTTGTGCACTTAGTTCAACTAGTGTGCCTGTTAGAAGCTAAAGTGAGGTTCTCTGTATTTCTATTTTTAATTTATTCTAGTCTTGCTAGGATGTTTTGAAGCTATTCTTCATGGGTTACTGTTTTTGCTAGTTATAGCTATTCTCTTTAGCTAATATATTGGTTTTTTTCTTTTTGCTTTTGCTAGCATGTGATTAGGTGTTTTGTATTTGTACTCGTTTATTGTCTTTAAGTTGTTTAAGTGGCCCTCTACTGCTTGTACTATAAGAGTGTTCCCTTGGAGCTATGTTTACAGGGCTTTAGCACTTGTTTTCTTATTCTCATTGTCTTCAAAAACAGTTGCCCATTCTAGCCTAGAATTATAGTAATATGCTGTGGATGCTAGAGCATTCTCTCAGTCTGTATTAGATTCAAAATATATCGATGCTTTTCCTCTTCTGTTACCATTACTGTTTTTAGTGATATAGACAGCCTTGGCTTTGAGCTCTCTAAGTTGTCTTAGCAGAGCTATTTTTGTTATTGTTTTAGGCACATTTCTTATTATTGTCTTAAATTTACTTCTGCTTTCTAAAATGCTTATATTAAAAGCTCCAGGTGTTGTTTTTAATAGTTTTCCTTTTTCAAAATACACTGCCAACTTTTTTTTAGTGCATTAAATTTCACAATATTTATAGCTTTTATTTCTATATATGTTGCTTTGGCCTTGTCTACTAACTGTAATTTTAAAATATTTGCTTTGCTGAAGAAAGACAAGTATTTTTTAATTCTTTTTGGTTGTGTATTTACTGGAATGTCCTACATAGTAAAGTTATATGTTATTTTGCTTTGTTCTTTTTTTTGAAAGTATACTGTTGAATTATGCAAGGCCCAGTCTGAGCTGTAAATATCTCCTTTTCTAGTTTTGTTTCTTTGTTATTGTTAACTGACTTGTTATCTAGTATATCTATTTTCTGCTTTACTGTTTTAG